TGGCTCTTTGGTCCCGCCTCTCAACCGTGAATCAGCAGGTGTACAGGTTCTGAGCCTACTGGGCTCTATCATATCTACACTTGAAACTGTGTATGGAGTGAGCCTCCACCACATCACTGCCTAATGCATTCCTAATGTGTGTGTGTGTGTGTGTGTGTGTGTGTGTGTGTGTGTGTGTGTGTGTGTGTGTGTGTGTGTGTGTGTGTGTGTGTGTGTGTGTGTGTGTGTATGAGATCATGTTAGCCGAGCCTATGTAGGCTCTTCCATCTTTTTCTCCCTTTCCATCACCTTTTTCCATCTTTCCCTCCTTCCTTCTGCGTCTCTCTCCCCTTCCATTACACTTCTTCTTTCCCATCTCAGCCCCTCTCTCTTCCCCTGCTCATCTCGCTTACGTCTCCAATTCCTTATTACCCTCTTTTTATTCCGCCACTATTCCATCCCAATCATATTTTCCTTTCTACGTATTTCCACGTCCTATCTCTTCCTTTTCCTCCCTCCCCACCTTCCTCTATCTCTTTCTCCCTCCTTTTGGTTCCTTCATCTCGGGTCCTCTTTGTCTCCTCCTCCTCCTCCTTGACTCGTAAGGAAGACGGAGGAGAACACCGTGAAGAAGTGGCTCTCAAGGAGCTGGAATCCAGCGCAGAACGATAGCGATTTAACCGTGTGAGACCCAACGATTTCCAGGAGGTCGTGTGGAGTGTGTGTGTGATAGTGTGGGCGATGGTGATAGTGCTTGTGATGATGACAGTATCGATTTAGGGGGAGGGGGTGAGGGGGGGGCATCATCCCCTACCACCATCTCTCCTGAGGGCATAACTACCATCAACAACAACAACAATCTCTGCAGACGAGGAGTCACAATAACGTGGTTGGAATGTGGTGACCAGACTACATACTAGAAAGTGAATTGACGACGACGTTTCGGTCAGTCCTGGACCATTCTCAAGTCGATTGTGACTTGAGAATCGACTTGAGAATGGTCCAGGATGGACCGAAACGTCGTCGTCGTCCCTGCACTTTCTAGTGTGTGGTTTGGTCAACAATACCAATCTACTTTCCTCTGCCAACCAATTCCATTAACTAACCTCCTCCCCCCCCCTCCTCCAGGGTACGTGACGGGTCCTCTGTACGAACTGTACTTCAAGACAGGTGAGCCCGAGGTGTACAATAGCGTTACTCATGGGCCAGGATACAGGATCTCGTACCACCAGCGCTTCTCCTGTACCCACTCCCCGTCCTCAGACCGTCTCTTCAGCTACAGTGAGGGTACGTTGCTGTGTACCGTGCTTGGGTACCGTGCGCTGCCTCTGTGGAGAGATGTAGGATGGGTTATTTGAAGGAGATAATGATAAGAGGCTTAATTCTGTGATTCTTTATTGTTATCTGGAAATGGGTCTGTTTACAGTGTTCGGTTAGCAGGTTTTTCTTGCAGAGGTCACTCTATGTTGGGGCCACCTTGTTACAGGGGTCACTGTAAGTTGTGACCATCTTGTTTACTCACCTATTTGTACTTGGTGGGGGTTGAGCTCTGGCTCTTTGGTCCCGCCTCTCAACTGTCAATCAACTGGTGTACAGATTCCTGAGCCTACTGGGCTCTATCATATCTACATGATATGTGTGTGTGTTTGTACTCGCCTAATTGTGCTGGTGAGTACAATTAGGCGAGTACAACACACACACATATGTAGATATCATAGAGCTCAGTAGGCTCAGGAATCTGTACACCAGTTGATTGACTGTGCGTGTGTGTGTGTGTGTGTGTGTGGTGTGTGTGTGTGTGTGTGTGTGTGTGTGTGTGTGTGTGTATGTGTGCGCGCGCGCGTGTGTAAGAGAGATAGAGAGAAGAGCAAGACAGTTGCTATCCACTCTCCACTATAGCATATTTCACTATAATTGAGCCAGTGTATAACCTTGTCTCTCGACAAATCACTCTGCACCTTGTGTCATTTGTCTTGCGCCAGGAACTTGATTAGTGTCAACTAACCTTTGTCACCTACCTTTGTCAACTAACATAAGCTAACAAGGCGTTAGAAGGGGGGGGGAGTATATCACAAAGTGAGACGTTGCTATACGTTATGCTAATTGAAAAGGCGGTCTAGATAATAGAAATAGATGGTGGGGTGTGGAATGTGGGACTAAATTGAACAAGCTCGTACCTCTGCTTTCGAAACCTGTACATCTTTTAACTGGAAATGCTGCGAGGTTGTTCACCGCCCAAGAGTACTGGTCTAGACTACTTCGGTCCTCATTATCTTGGTAGTGAATGCAAAGTAAGTCGTCGTGGTGGATGAAAGATGTAGAGGTTTCGCAAATGGACGTGTGAATACTTGATGACTCCTGGCTCCGGCTCTTAGAGAAGAGTCATGATGAGAGGAGAGTATGAGGTATGTGATGAGATATATGAGGTACGTTATGTGATGAAATGTATGAGGTATGTTATATGATGAGATGTATGAGGTATGCAGGCGATGAGTCACAATAACGTGGCTGAAGTATGTTCACCAGACCACACACTAGAAGGTGAAGGGACGACGACGTTTCGGTCCGTCCTGGACCATTCTCAAGTCGATTGTGACTTGCGAATGGTCCAGGACGGACCGAAACGTCGTCGTCCCTTCACCTTCTAGTGTGTGGTCTGGTCAACATGTATGAGGTATGTTATGTTCTACTGTTGTTGTTGTTTAAGATTCGCTACCTGGAACAAAAAGTTCCAAGTAGCACGGGCTATGGTGAGCCCGTAGTGGACTGTGTTATGTTCTACTGTTATACTACACTTGTGTAACTGTCAACAGATGGCGAGTCCCTGGTGGACATGTCTGGTCCGAGACGAGGTGATCGTGGTCCAGATGGTGTTGATACATCTCAACACGTCAACACCAGCTTCCCGCTCACTCCTGGCATCTCCCTCACTCCTGGCATCTCCCTCACTCCTGGCCTTGTTGCTCGCCATCCTCCTGCTCCTCAGCGGGGTTCGGCGGAAGATCTTGAGGTTGTCTTGAGACCCCTAGTGGGTGCAGGCGCCCAGGAGCTACAGCTTACCCCTTACGGGCACCGTAATCCTCTTTTCTATTACACCCGAAGAGGACTCGCTTCCCGCTCTAATGGATCAGACGCGGTCGAGGTGGGTAGCGGCGGTGTCGGCCTCAATCTACGTCCTGGGAGTTCGCAGAATGACACGTTCGAGAACTCGCAGGTCCTCAGCCTCGTTGGGAACGTGGTGTCTGAGGTGCTGCAGGAGGTGCTGCCAGGCTTCGGGTACTCTCTAGGGACGCTCCTTAGCAACAGCAGTGCCGTTAGGAGCACTAGCGTCCATCCCGAAGGTGAATCTCTTCACTCAGGACCGATGGACGAGGTGAGGGAGCAATCGATATATGACTTAGCATCGAAAACTGCTCAAGTGAAGAAGGTGGGGGAGACGAGTTACGGCGACAGTTTCATAATCTCCTTGCTGCCTCAGACGGTGAGGGAGACACTGTTCATGCCAGGTGAGGAGGACTTGGCCACCAGCGTCACCACACACGTCAATCATCCTACCAGAAGCCAGGAATATTATTGGTTCAGGCGAGCCAATACAAACACGACGAACAGCCATTCAAGTAACCTTTCAGATCCAAGTGAAACGATAAATGGGAAAACTGACAATTCAGGGACACAGAGTGAAATTGAATATATTACTGAATCAATGAGAAATGGAAGCGGACTTAAACCACATGAAGCTGCTAACTTCTCCTACGCCTTGACCCAAAACAGAGAAAGATTAAACGCGAGGCTCTCAGATAATGTGGCAGAACCTCAGATGAAACCTGTTTCTTCCAAGGAGGCTTCAAGAGTTCCATTAGAAGGAACTTCGTTGATACCGTCAGCGGCTCTGAAGAATGTTACAGAAGCTGGTAAGGATGAGCAGACTTCATCTGGTGGTCTCTCTTCACCTCTCTCTATCTTACCTTTATTCTCTACCTACTTATCGTATTTATCTGAGTTTTATTCATCTCCCTTTTCCCCTATTTCTTCTACTTTATTTTATGGGTCAGACTTCCCACCTCCTGCCGGAGACCACCTGCTGAAGGCTGTGAAGAAGACGACGACGGTGCGTCACGTCCCTGACTCTCATCCGTCTGACACCTTCATAATCTCGCTGGTGTCGGAACTGCCCGGGACGACGTCGGAGCCGCCCAGGACGAGGTCGGAGCCGCCCCGGACGAGGTCGGAGCCGCTCAGGACGAGGTCGGAGCCGCCCAGGACGGCGTCGGAGCCGTCCAGGACGGCGTCGGAGCCGTCCAGGACGAGGTCGGAACCGTCCAGGACGAGGTCGGAGCCATCTAGGACGACGTCGGAGCCGTCCAGGACGAGGTCGGAGCCACCCAGGACGACATCGGAGCCACCCAGAACGACGTCGGAGCCATCTAGGACGACATCGGAGCCACCCAGAACGACATCGGAGCCACCCAGAACGACGTCGGAGCCGTCCAGGACGACGTCGGAGCCACCCAGAACGACGTCGGAGCCACCCAGAACGACGTCGGAGTCACCCAGACCGACATCGGAGCCACCCAGAACGACGTCGGAGTCACCCAGACCGACATCGGAGCCACCCAGAACGACGTCGGAGTCACCCAGACCGACATTGGAGCCACCCAGAACGACGTCGGAGCCACCCAGACCGACATCGGAGCCACCCAGAACGACGTCGGAGTCACCCAGACCGACATCGGAGCCACCCAGAACGACGTCGGAGTCACCCAGACCGACATCGGAGCCACCCAGAACGACGTCGGAGTCACCCAGACCGACATCGGAGCCACCCAGAACGACGTCGGAGCCGCCCAGGACGACATCGGAGCCACCCAGAACGACGTCGGAGCCGCCCAGGACGACATCGGAGCCACCCAGAACGACGTCGGAGTCACCCAGACCGACATCGGAGCCACCCAGAACGACGTCGGAGTCACCCAGACCGACATCGGAGCCACCCAGAACGACGTCGGAGCCGCCCAGGACGACATCGGAGCCACCCAGAACGACGTCGGAGCCGCCCAGGACGACATCGGAGCCACCCAGAACGACGTCGGAGCCGCCCAGGACGACATCGGAGCCGTCCACGACAACCCCGAAACACGTTGCCAAATCCACAATATTGTCGGCAGCAACTGACGCTGATGAAGTTGATATGTTTCCTAATCCATCCGCTGACAAGCAAGACTTGATAAATGGACGGGGCTTACGAGACGAGTCTATTGAGGCAGGATCCAGCAAAGAGAGAGTCAGAAGAAGTGTGTCGGGAGCTCCCACAGGAGAGAGAGCTGGCGGGGCCAGAGACCTCATCACCTGGTATCCCGAGGCACTGGAACCCAGCCATACTTCGCGCGTCGTTCAGCGAAGAAAGCCATTGAGACCAACTCGTATCGATAGAGATGAGCTGGTGGTGAAGAGGCCGCCAGCGAGGCTGCCTCCAGCAGCCACAATCACTAGTAAACCTTACTATGTCCTCCCTATCTGGGCCGGCGACCAGGTTTCCGCCGGGTTCAGAGAGGATTCCAGCAAAAATGGAATTAAAGATATGATCAGCAAGGGAAGCATTTTTAGGAACTCGGGAGTGGTGACTAACAAAGGTGGACTCGTAGAAAAATATCCTGCTCGATATCCTGAAGTAAACTTTGGCGGGGATCCTGGTCTATATCCTGGAGTATACTCTGGCGGGTATCCTGCAAGAGACGACTCTGGAGGGAAGTCTACGCGAACTGAAGGATTCTCTAGAGGGGATTCTACGCGAACTCCTGAAGAATACCCAGGAGGGGATACCAACAGCCTGGTGACCTGGTTTCCCTACCTGGACGAAGTATACCTGGGGACAGAGAGAGACGACCACACCAGACTAGTGACCTGGTCAGCGGTGTACGACAAGTGAAGTAGTGAATAAACCTTGAAATACCATATATATACATATACATATATGACCAGGAAGCATACACAGTGATCTATTATGCCGAGCGACTGACTGATTGCTGGCAATGTCCGTATTTACAAAGTGACAGGCAGCATTTGTGGCCATTCTGTCAATATAGAAACTAACGCCACCCCTAAATCTTTGTATTACAAGTCACAGCATTTGGGTATTTTTGTCTCTGTTGACTTATCTACAGGACTGGACAGTGGACAACAAGGTGGTCTATCTACAGACTGGACAGTGGACAACAAGGTGGTCTATCTACAGACTGGACAGTGGACAACAAGGTGGTCTACCTACAGACTGGACAGTGGACAACAAGGTGGTCTATCTACAGACTGGACAGTGGACAACAAGGTGGTCTACCTACAGACTGGACAGTGGACAACAAGGTGGTCTATCTACAGACTGGACAGTGGACAACAAGGTGGTCTACCTACAGACTGGACAGTGGACAACAAGGTGGTCTATCTACAGACTGGACAGTGGACAACAAGGTGGTCTACCTACAGACTGGACAGTGGACAACAAGGTGGTCTATCTACAGACTGGACAGTGGACAACAAGGTGGTCTACCTACAGACTGGACAGTGGACAACAAGGTGGTCTACCTACAGACTGGACAGTGGACAACAAGGTGGTCTATCTACAGACTGGACAGTGGACAACAAGGTGGTCTACCTACAGACTGGACAGTGGACAACAAGGTGGTCTATCTACAGACTGGACAGTGGACAACAAGGTGGTCTATCTACAGACTGGACAGTGGACAACAAGGTGGTCTACCTACAGACTGGACAGTGGACAACAAGGTGGTCTATCTACAGACTGGACAGTGGACAACAAGGTGGTCTACCTACAGACTGGACAGTGGACAACAAGGTGGTCTACCTACAGACTGGACAGTGGACAACAAGGTGGTCTATCTACAGACTGGACAGTGGACAACAAGGTGGTCTACCTACAGACTGGACAGTGGACAACAAGGTGGTCTACCTACAGACTGGACAGTGGACAACAAGGTGGTCTATCTACAGACTGGACAGTGGACAACAAGGTGGTCTATCTACAGACTGGACAGTGGACAACAAGGTGGTCTACCTACAGACTGGACAGTGGACAACAAGGTGGTCTATCTACAGACTGGACAGTGGACAACAAGGTGGTCTATCTACAGACTGGACAGTGGACAACAAGGTGGTCTATCTACAGACTGGACAGTGGACAACAAGGTGGTCTACCTACAGATTGGACAGTGGACAACAAGGTGGTCTACCTACAGACTGGACAGTGGACAACAAGGTGGTCTACCTACAGATTGGACAGTGGACAACAAGGTGGTCTATCTACAGACTGGACAGTGGACAACAAGGTGGTCTATCTACAGACTGGACAGTGGACAACAAGGTGGTCTATCTACAGACTGGACAGTGGACAACAAGGTGGTCTATCTACAGACTGGACAGTGGACAACAAGGTGGTCTATCTACAGACTGGACAGTGGACAACAAGGTGGTCTACCTACAGACTGGACAGTGGACAACAAGGTGGTCTACCTACAGACTGGACAGTGGACAACAAGGTGGTCTATCTACAGACTGGACAGTGGACAACAAGGTGGTCTATCTACAGGACTGGACAGTGGACAACAAGGTGGTCTATCTACAGGACTGGACAGTGGACAACAAGGTGGTCTATCTACAGACTGGACAGTGGACAACAAGGTGGTCTACCTACAGACTGGACAGTGGACAACAAGGTGGTCTATCTACAGACTGGACAGTGGACAACAAGGTGGTCTATCTACAGACTGGACAGTGGACAACAAGGTGGTCTATCTACAGACTGGACAGTGGACAACAAGGTGGTCTATCTACAGACTGGACAGTGGACAACAAGGTGGTCTATCTACAGACTGGACAGTGGACAACAAGGTGGTCTACCTACAGACTGGACAGTGGACAACAAGGTGGTCTATCTACAGACTGGACAGTGGACAACAAGGTGGTCTATCTACAGACTGGACAGTGGACAACAAGGTGGTCTACCTACAGACTGGACTGGACAATTGTTGAGCATCGGAAACAAAACTTGTTGTGTGGAGGTAATTTATTAATTTTGCCGGATAAATTTGGTCTAATGTAAACACTTTAAAGTTTTGCAAGCGGACGAAAGTGATGAGCTGAGGTGAAATAACCACTTTTGTTTGTGAGTAATGTGTTTGTTTGTGAGGCTGTTACTGTTGTTTGTGAGTAATGTGTTTGTTTGTGAGGTTGTTACCGTTGTTTGTGAGTAATGTGTTTGTTTGTGAGGTTGTTACCGTTGTTTGTGAGTAATGTGTTTGTTTGTGAGGCTGTTACTGTTGTTTGTGAGTAATGTGTTTGTTTGTGAGGCTGTTACTGTTGTTTGTGAGTAATGTGTTTGTTTGTGAGGCTGTTACTGTTGTTTGTGAGTAATGTGTTTGTTTGTGAGGCTGTTACTGTTGTTTGTGAGTAATGTGTTTGTTTGTGAGGCTGTAACCGTTGTTTGTGAGGCTGTTACTGTTGTTTGTGAGTAATGTGTTTGTTTGTGAGGCTGTTACTGTTGTTTGTGAGTAATGTGTTTGTTTGTGAGGCTGTTACTGTTGTTTGTGAGGCTGTTACTGTTGTTTGTGAGTAATGTGTTTGTTTGTGAGGCTGTAACCGTTGTTTGTGAGGCTGTTACTGTTGTTCGTGAGTAAGGTCTTTGTTTGTGAGGCTGTTACTGTTGTTTGTGAGTAATGTGTTTGTTTGTGAGGCTGTAACCGTTGTTTGTGAGGCTGTTACTGTTGTTCGTGAGTAAGGTCTTTGTTTGTGAGGCTGTTACTGTTGTTTGTGAGTAATGTGTTTGTTTGTGAGGCTGTAACCGTTGTTTGTGAGGCTGTTACTGTTGTTTGTGAGTAATGTGTTTGTTTGTAAGGCTGTCACTATTGTTTGAAATAATAGGTTTGCTTTAACCTTGTATACTAACATGTCTCTCGCAATAAAATTAGTGTACTGGTGCATTTTATAGAATTTGCAAACAAACCTGAAAATAACCCACACATTTAAAAGCACAAGGAAACATAGACTATATATTTTTCGATCCCAACCCCTGGGATTCTCTTTAACAATGAGCGGGAATGGCAGCTGATGCTGTTTATATATATATACACATATATATACACTGGACGCTTCCTGTTTCCCAACAAAGCCAATTATAAATATTAGAAACTATACGAGGGTGACTTCGCTCTGAACCTCACGATCGTTACCCAGCTCTCAACTGCCACGGTAGTTAATGTGGAGCGCAATTAAGGCCCGTAGTCATGTAACTATCCTCGACCCTCCCCCATCCCATCCCCCGACTCCTTTTCCCTTCCCGCCTTTCCTCCGCGATAGGTTTCTCAACAGCCTAACGATGTGGGCATCTCCCGCGTCGCATTTCTCCGAAGCTGGAAGTCGTATTCTATATGTCATTACCTGAGTTCGGTGGTGCGTGAAGTATATACCGTATTTTGTCGTCAATAGTGGGTTTAGGAGACCGTTAACGGAGATTGGAATTGATAGTTTGGTGAAGATTGTAGCTGGGAGGATTTTTGAGGCGCGCTAGGCTTGTTGTCTAGGATTAAAAGTTGAAAACGCGTGTGTTATGGAGATGTGCTCGTCTAGTTGTGCTTGTGAAGGGTTGAGATCTGGCTCTTTGGTCCCGCCTCAGATGTGTCTGGGGTTCGGAGGTGGTTGGCTGGCAGCACTCACACCCACTGCTTTTCTTGCTTGCTATTGGCACCACGCTGGTACATGTACTCAAGATAACCTCAAGATAACCTCAATATAGCCTCAAGTTAACCTCAAGATAGCTGGGGTTTAATGATCCCGATGTTTGGAGTCGTCTAGGCTTCTTCAACTGGAGCCTAGTGGAACCCTGCAGCTCCGTGTTCCAGAGTAGCACCTCATGTTCCAAGTTCCATTTAACTTCCTCTCTCAAATTTCTGGCTACACCTCTTGCTCTTTGTAAGAAACCTTGTACACACACACACACACACACACACACACACACACACACACACACACACACACACACACACACACACACACACACACACACACACACAAACACACACAAAGTTTAAAATTAGTCTCGCGTTGCACGCAAAAGATGTGGGGAAGACAAACAGGTACAACTTTATCAATAAACCTGTATTCCAAGATGTGTATCCAATATCCTCGTCTAATGAAAGTATTCTTGAAGCGCTGGGAGACTGCGAGAGGACTTTTGTGTGCGTGTGTGTGCGTGTATGTATGTGCGTGTGTGTGTGTGTGTGTGTTTGGGGACGGTACTAATTAGTGCAGCCTCACGTAATGATCTCATTCAACCACAATGACGCCACAGAAAACGATGAATCGATTTGTTTGAAGTATTGGATTCTATTTTTAAGTTTTGGCATTGGGTCATGAGGATGGGGGGGTTAGGTTAGGTGTGGGGGTGAGGTGAGGTAGTGTAGGTGGGAGAGAAGATGGAGGAAGTGTTAAGGGGACATTTGAGGAGCGGGAAGAAAGGTAGTGGATGCAAGAATGGAGAAAAAAATAGTGTTCATAGAAATGCAGAGGAGAGGTTTGGGGGGATATTAATTAACTCATCAGTGATATCTCTAGTGCCTGTACTTTGATGATTCCTCTGCTAAATGGCTATCTATTTTCCTTCGTTATCGCTATGAAGAAATATGTATATCGTGGTACATTTAGAAGTTTAGTTTTCTTTCCGAAGGACCATCGCTTTTTGTGGCTTCTATCATAAACACTGTCTTTACCAGGCGACTCCTTCCCCTGGCTGTACCTGCCTAGCCTAACAATCTTCTCTTACGTTGTTTTCAGCACCCGCCATAGGCAGCCCCGTCAGGATGTCTTGCTAGGCATATTTGTTCATTGCTCTCTACTTATGTTTGGATCCTTCCTTTTCCTTATTTGCAGGTGTTTTTAAAACTGGAGGTGTTTTAAAAATCTTGTCATATATTCAGAGAAATCACAGACAAGCGGCAGAAAAGCAAAGTCACCCAACTCTCAATTCAATTTTATTACAACTTGTAAGACACCAGAACGGACCGAAAAGTCATCTGTTTTATCGAAAACTT